ATCTGTTTGTGGGGAAAGTTCAGTGAAGCTTTCCACTTCATATAAGGACATTGGGAATTGCACTAAGAAAATTAGCAACAATCTAAAGCTGATGAAAGCACAATTCATAGTAATAGAGTACAAGGTAATTTCAGAATGCGGTTTATTTTTAATGATCATGCAGTGCTAAAAATTTCTATATAAAAAGGCTATCGAAAATTTAAGAATTCACAATAAATGTAATACCATATAAAGGAAAATTTTGGAGGGGGTTAAATTTGGTGAATCGCTAAATTTTGGTGATTGGCAAATTTTAATTTGGCAAATTGGCCATGTGCCATTGAGCATGCGTAAAATGGTAGATTTTATTTTGGCAAATGGCTATCAAAACATCAAATTCGCGAATTTAATTTCCTCCAAATTTCCCACTATACAGTACATTATGTGTACATGTACATGTACATGCATTATACATTACAATGTACATGTATTTGTATCCTTACATTATTTCCTGGTAACATGATTCCTCCTCCTTCTCTTGTTTTCAGTAATAAAGTTTTTAAAGTACCAAATGAAGATTTGGGATAGAGTAACATTGGTTGTTCTAGATCTGAAGCATGGGCACCAATTAGAGGTAATAAATGACGATGAATCACACCCCTTGTAGCAGCCCCGCCCTCCAATAACGACTTTACAACAATATCAGGAGTATTATCTAATTAATTATTCATTATTATTATTATCATTAATGAATATTAATTACCTTTAACAGTTTTAATTATTACTGGTATTGCTCCTTCAACATCATCTTCAGCATTAGTTAAATATCCTTCATACATAACACCAAACACACCTAGCAATAACCAGTAATAACTATTAATAACTATTAATAATTATTAATAACTTTTAATTACCAGTAATAAATAATAATAACCACAATTGCTAATAACTATTAATAAATAACTTGGATGACAATAAACATATCTTTATGTACTGTATAAGTGGTTTTTTAGGGCTGTGAATTTCACGGATTTTGTGAATTCCTTCCTGACTTTTGAAAACAAAATCAGTGAAAATCAATTTAATACGGTACTCGCAAGGTACGTGGTAGAATTTGCAAAATTAAAATCCGCTAATTGGAATTTTAGTAGATTTCATGAAATATAATTCCCTAAAAAAAACCACTTATACAGTAACTAAAGAGTAGGGAAATTTTCAAATATTACATATACAGTAAGTGCTACTGTACATACATACATGTACTTAATACGTATGGGTCGGGTATGTTACGGTATGTAATTGCGTATTAAAGTTAACTTGGCCCTGATCTCTGCTGTACATGTACATGTAATTTAGAAGGTACAGTATACGTTAAATGAGTCTTGAGGTTTATAACCTCATAACAAATCATTCCCAATTCACTATCTGTACATGTACATGATGTATACCCAGACT